CCAATTAAAATGCACCCCAATCTCCTTTGCTAAGCTAATAATCTCTCTTAGATGCTGTCTAAGAGACCACACTCCCAGGTTTCTAGTATGCATCCACCCTATTACGAGTTTGGAGTCTCCTTCCACTTCTAATTGCTGTATTCCCCATTGTTTCGCCACTTTCAAACCTTGAAGTAAGGCCATTACTTCTGTCCTTAATGAATCTCCCACCCCAATTGGGCCCGAGTAAAGGGCCAAGACTTTTCCTCCCTCGTTTCTATACACACCCCCAACTCTCGACTGACCTGGATTACCCAAGGAGCTTCCATCAAAGTTTAGCTTCACCTTGAACTGAGGCGGTGGTACCCAACAATCTTGTACCACAAGGGAGGAAGGCGAGGAAATAGTTATAGCACTCCAATTTCTAATTAAGTCCACTAAGGAGAAATCCTTGAAGAGATGATGTACTTTCAGCTAGTGCATAACGGCATAACCTTGATGGTGACAACCTCCACAAGTGCTTCCTTAGATTTTTCTTGCCCTAGGAAGATCCTATTGTTTCTCTCTTCCCAAATTGACCATAGGATGGCAGCTCTTGTTATTCTCCACATTACCCTGCCCCTTTTCCTTGGTTGTCGAAAGAAGCTAGAGTCAAAAAGGTTCAGGACACCCAAGGGGGGTTCCATCTGTAACCAAACAAAGAAGAGAACCAATCCCACAAATAATAGGCAAAAGGACAAGAAATCAAAAGATGAGTTGTCATCTCACCATTTCTTAAGCAAAGGTAACAGACGTGGGGAAAGGCTCTAGTCTGGCCTTTTTCTTTTAAGTACATCCATAGTCTGGCATAGGAGAATACCAGATTTCTTTAGTGGGAAAAGAGACAGACATAGAAGAAGACTGAACTAAGGCATTGAAAAAAGATGAACAAGAGGAAGTCTCTGAAGAGGTCTCTTTCCAAATTCTACTATCTGAGCAAGAAAAATGAATTCAACACAGTGAATAACTCATCTACAGAAGTCAATTCTGAATCTCTCAACCCTCTTCTCAAACCCAAATCCCAAGTCCCCTCAGATACACGAAGTGAGGAGATGATTTTGAATTTATTTAGGGAAAGAGAATACATTGCCGAGAATCTATCCTTAAGGGGGGTGTTCCCAAGCCAAAGGTCCTCACAAAACAAAATTTTATTACCTGAGCACACATCAAATCTGATGAAAGGCTGAAAGGAAGACAAGACTCCAAGAATTGCTTTCCAAGGGGAGAAATGAGAAGCCCTAGGGTTGATGCCAACATCCCATCCATTAGCTGCCATCCCATGAATACTTTCCACCACCAAGTGCCACAAGCTGTCCTGCTCCAAAGAAAATCTCCACAACCACTTTCCTAACAAAGCTACATTTCTTAATCTGATATTGCCAATCCTAGACCCCTCGTTTCCTTTTTCCTAGAAACTACTTCCCACTTCACTAAATGGTCCTTTTTTGAGTCACCCGGTTCCCATAGAAAATCTCTCATGAGCTGGCAACCTTGGCAGGAAGCTTAAAGGTAGACAGAAAATACACCGGAAGGTTGGCCAGAGTGGACTTGATTAAAGTGATTCTACCCCCTAGTGAGATATAATTTCTCTTCCACCCTGCTAGCTTCTTAGTGAATCTTTCTAAAACTAACCTAAAGCCCTAGCCACCAACTGCACTTCATCATCCCGTAAATTCACCCCCGCTACACAACTCTTGTTCTAATTGATTTTTAGATTGAAGACTCTCTCAAAATGCATCACCACCAATCTCAAATTATCGGTCTCCTCAATTCCCCCTTCATAAAAGAGAATGATATCATCCGCAAATTGTAGGTAAGTGACAATCACTTGTTGCCTCCCAACTCTCCAACCTTTCAGTGGATTTCTTGAATCAGCCCTAGAAATCAAGACACTTAGGACATCCACTACTACGGTGAGAGGAAAGGTTACAAAGGGTCTCCTTGTCTAAGGCCCCTCTTTGCAGGAAAGAAGTCCCTAGCTACTCCATTCACTAAGATTGAGAAGTGACAAGAGGTAATACAACCCTTCATCCACTTACACCATCTCTCCCCAAAGCCTCTATTCTTCAAAACTTCTAGCAAGAAATCCCAATCCACTAAATCATAAGCCTTTTCTAAGTCAAATTACAGGTCAAACCCTTTTCTCCTTTTCTTTCTTTTTTTTTTTTTTTTTTGTAATCCACACATTCATTGGCTATTAAAATCTGATCAATAATTTGTCTCCCTTTCACAAAGGCCCCTTGATTCGGTGAGATTAAGGAAGGACCTTCTTGAGTCTTAGTGCAAGAACTTTAGAAATGATCTTATATAGACTCCCAATCAGACTGATCGGTCTAAAATCCTTGGGCTGAACTGCAGGCACCTTCTTAGGGATCAAAGCTATGAAAGTAGCATTTGCACCCACATTTATTTTTCCTCTTTCAAAGAATTCCAAGAAGACCTCCACTAGGTCATCACCTAAGATGTCCCAACAGTCTTGATAAAAAGCCATAGTGAATCCATTCGGGCCCGGGGCTTTTGATCTTTCTATAGAGAAAACTACCTCCTTTATTTCTTGAGCCTCAAATGGTCTTTCCAGGGGTTCCAACCCGGGGCTTTTGATCTTTCTATAGAGAAAACTACCTCTTTTATTTCTTGAGCCTCAAATGGTCTTTCCAGGGGTTCCAACAATTCCCTTTCTCCAACATGCCACTCAAAGTTGGTTAGAGTCTCTCTTACTCTACTGGGGCTGTCATAAATGGATTTAAAATGCTCCACAAAAGCTTTTGCTATCTCTTCCTCTCTTGTCAACTTTGCCCCATTCCTTTCCAAACTTTCCATTATGTTCTCTTTCTTCCATTTGCCAAGCTATGGAAAAATCTTGTATTATCACTTGCATTTTGATTTTTGTCTCCAGCTTATCTATAGTTCTGTTCTGTTTTTGTTAAGACTTGGGTCTATACTCTCCCTAAAGGGGAGGTAGCACCTCACGCCTCCTCCAATGCTGATAGTACTCTCTTTTGTTCTCTTTAATAAAACTACCTATTCATTCATAAAAAAAAAGTCTTTAGATATCTGCTTGAAGTGCCTGAGCTCATTCCTTAGCTTCCATATTACTCCTTTCCCCTTCTTTAGCCAGTTTACAACAACCTTTGAGTCCCCTTCAATAATCAGCCTGTTTATCCCCATTTCTTTAACTTTTTCAACACCACACACTGCTGCCATCAGTTCTGATCTCACCTCATCACCATGCTGAATAGGACCTGAGTACATGGCTAATTGAGAAACCGGGTTCTTTTTCTGTGAAATCTTTCTTTATATGCTTGTCAAGGGAGGATACCTCTCCCTTTCCAAGTGACAGGATATGGATCAGACTGGCTTTTTTTTTGTCTGGTCAGCGGTGCTGGACAAGATCCTAACCAAGGTCAATCTAACCAAAAGAAGCTTAGAGGTGGCGGATATGGCTTGTCCTTTATGTAATGGAAATGTGGAGTCATCTAGCTATTTGCTGATACACTGTGAGTTTACTTACTGGGTTTTGGCAAGACTGTTGGGCTTGTTTGGTGTTAAACTATGCATCCCATCTGATGTGAAGGGATTCATAGGGGCATGGTTCCTAGGAGGCTTAAGCAGGGCTGGAAAGGTAGTGTGGAGCATCCTCCCCTCAGCAATCTTCTGGGCGATATGGTGTGAAAGAAATAGTAGAATTTTCGAAGGGAGTCAAACTTCAAAGGAAGAGGTCCCTAGCAGAATTCTGGGGATGGTTCACTCATGGTTGGAAAATCACCCTTTATTCAGAAAAAAGACATACTTGTTCTTTTTTTGATTTTGATTTCCTTTTTGTAAGGAGCAGAGAGTTTTTCCTTTTGTTTGTGGGTTTGGCTGTATTAGGCAGATTGTACATCCTCTGTTCAGTTTCTCATTGTAAAGGGGCTCTTTTGCATTTTGACCTTTTGATTAATGAATTACTTGCAGTTTCAAAAAAATAAACAGGAAAACTTTACAGTCAATACTATTGTTGTATTTTGCTAGATCAATATATGAAAACATAGCATATGAAGCATAACATATAGAGACTATTTGCTAATGTTGTTCATTCATTCTTCTTAATACAAGACAGTTTTGAAAAGATAATTTAATTATAAAACCATTTTTTGTAGGGATTAAGAATTTAAGACCCTAAAATGGACTTGTTTAGGTTTGCCTCAAGGGGCTTGGTACAAAGGGGGCTCGTGGACTTAGAAATGAAAGATGTTTAACATCACATTAGCTATTTGAAATAATGCGATTGAGAAAGAAATAAAGAAAATTGAAAGTTTGAATGCTTGGATATGTTTATATGCTAGTGTTTGGTTTTGTTTTTGCATTTTCACTTTGAATATGTTTTATATGTTATGTTTATGTATTTTAATTTGGGCTAATAGGCTTTTCAAAACATTTAATTTAAAATTAAAGTTTGCATTTTTCAATTATCATTATTTTTAATATTTTCTTGATTTATTTTGTTTTTTTACATTTCTATTTTTTGAACTTTTTAAACATTTTGCACCTTGCTTCAAAAAAAAAAAAAAGAGCCTTGCCTTGTCCCTTGCACCTTGTGTTTTTAAAACACACACTGTAGACAATTGATAAGAGAGGTAAAGACTGGCTTCAAGTGGGTTTACAGATAAGCAAACAGCTTGGCTGATGCCTTGGCTAAGCAGGGGGGTGAACAGGTATGAAGGCTGAAATTGTAAGTTGTAACTAGTAGGTAGCAGATGCTAGCCTAACAGAAAAAGGATTTCCTGATTGTAATGCTTGTAAATATACCATCATATACTATTCATTTTCCCTTAAATCAATAATTTGGACTGTTGCTCACAAGAATATACTTTTTAAACCAATTAACTTGTATGCCTTGTAATATCTGATGTAAATTTTATCCAGTATAGCTGATAATCTGCAATATCTTAAAGTCTCTTATTTCTTTCCTGCCGTATATTCTTTTCTGTTGTCCCCTTCAGGTACGCTCCTTGGCAGCAGAATCTGATAGGGCATATCAAGGAGGTCCACTTGAGCGTATGTTTTATCAGGATGCTTTTCTCACTCCTGAGGAGGGAGGGGGGAATATGGATGTGGATGGATTTAAAGTACCAAATCAGTACACTTACATGTTGGACTGGTTTGCTGTGGATCTTGAGGGGGAACACTCTGCGATGGATGGCCGGATTCTTGAAGAACATACTGACTATGTTGTATATGCTATTCATAGGGTATGGTATATCTTTTTTTTTTGATCAATAAATGGGGTTTGATATATCTTTACTCCTCTTACGTTACTTGGAAATATTCCATAGAAATAAATTTTGTTTGTAGCTTAAAAAAACCTTTTAACATTAGGACATTGACTAATGAGTCTTTATTTGTTTTTTCTCCCTTTCTATGAAACCACAACCACAGAGAACAATATTCCTTTTCGTTTTATTTTCCTGCTGGGCTGCTTGAAAATGAGTTTCAGGCTTCAGCTCTGCAACCAGTGGTGGGAGGGTCTTGTAACTCCAGTAATAGTTTCAATCTCTACAACTTACCATGAATTTTAAATCTACTTGCAAAAGTTATCTTAAAGAGAAGAATCCCTGTCCATCTTGCAACTTCCTGTCTTCGTTTACTAAGTATGGTGGATCTATTTTGAAGATGGTCTTGTCATCTCTACGGGGCTGGGCAATTTACTGTAAGTATTTTTGTCTTGGTTATATTTTGTTCAAGAGTTTCTTTATCGGCAACATCAAGTGTGAGGATTTTAGTAAAATAGAGATAAAGTCCTCCATTCCAGGAAAGTTGGAAAGGAGACTAATGGAGAACAGCCAATGGCTCACACAAACATGCATAAACAGTCATATTATCGTATAACTGAAGTGTTCTTTCCCAGTTCTGTTGTCCTCCAAACCAATTCATTGCTATTCACCTCTGCCCTTGCTGGAGAATTTGCAATGCTATTGGCAGGTTTAAGGGCCCAATTGAATGAACAGTTCATGTTGGCTGCCAATGCCTTTGCTTCCTTTATCAAGTAGCTTGAGGATGACTATCCTTCAAAATCAATGAGGTTTCTTCACCTGCTGAACCATAGTAGCAAAGTATGGTGCTTCCATAACAACCTGGCAATCACCCTTCAAAATCAATTGTTTGTCTAATGAATAGGCCAGTTTTTGATCATAAAAATCATTTCAACCCTCAAAGAGGTTCCCTCACCTGCTGAACCATAGTAGCAAAGTATGGTGCTTCCAGCCCGGTTTTTAAAGATGCTCTAATCCCTGAAAGTCCACACCATCAGAATTAAGTTGTATTCCTTCCTATGGCTTGTGCTGTCCATAATGCTATTGGCCTGCTGTTTTAATGGGGTGGCGCTAGTCACTATAGGCCACTAAAAGGCCATTATCCAATGTTGGTCCCAGCTACCTTGGGGGTCTTGGGAGGGGTAGACTGGATATGTTCCTAATATTTGGGATTTTTTTTTTCCACACAAAGTGGCACCTCTCATGATTGAACCTGTGTTCTCACACTTGGCAGCCTCGAATTTTACCCTTACACCAAGTAATGGCCCATTGAGATGGCCAATCACCATAAGCCATCCTCTCAATATAGAATCCATTAAGACCCCTTTGAAACTTTCTTTTGTCAACACTCAATTTGCTACTCTCACTATCTATGAGAATGTTAACATCTAGCCCCTCTGGCACCAAATACTCCAAAATATAGCTGCTCTGGTGCATTCCCACATGGTCTTCCCTCTCTTAGTGAGCAAAGAATCAATTGAGAGGGAAATAAATCAATTTATTCAATGATACATTCTAAACAAAACCAAGAAGAGGGGAATACTGGTTCCATACCTTAGATGTGAATGAGCAATAAAGGAATAAGTGATTTGCATTCTCTAACTCAGGCATTACTTAAGTTAAGAGCACTTGTTCCAACACAACATTACAGATCAACAACATTAATCAAGGTATAAAGACATAAATACCCCTACGCTAACACTCCCCCTCAAGCTGGTGAGTATATATCATATACTCCCAGCTTGTTACATATGTAGTCCACT